GAATGCAGGCAGCTTGATAGATAGATAGATAGATAGATAGATAGATAGATAGATAGATAGATAGATAGATAGATAGATAGATAGATAGATAGAAGCTCAAAATGTCTGCAGTACGGAAATAAATACTTGGCATTTAAAAGAACTGTGGCATTTAAAACAACTGTAGCGCATTGAACCAATGTATACACTGAAGCAGAATCCTATGCTGTATCGATCATGTCAAAAAAATCGGCAGATCCGAAGTACCTGGAAATCAAGGTTATCCGAAGCTTTAGAGGGAAGGTGATCACGTTGCATTTTTTTTTATTGAGTGCAACGTCATGAGGTGACGCTAAATTTATGTACTAAAGTTGCACGCACAGACGTAGGTTAAAAAGTTGCAGGTATTTACCAGTTGTTTGCAGTTGCGCAACTATGCAAACTGGAACATGCGTATTAGAAAGACCAGAAGCTGATATGAAGCACTGATACTCGCGAGTATGCTGGCCCTGGACACTGCGACATAAACCAACTTCAGTCCATGACAACTAACCACAATTGGCGTTAACCTGACGTGAAGACTGTATCAAAAGTGTACATATGTAATGTTCACAAAATTCGGTAGGCAGCACTGCAACTACTATAGACGTTTTACAAAGATTGGCGTCTATTTGAAAATTTGTTCCGGGACCTGGCGTAGCTCTGTGGTAAAATGCTTCATTGCCACGCAGAATGCTTGGGTTCGATTCCAGCTGCCACACTGAAATTTATTCTTTGCATTCGTCGGGTCAACACTACCGATGTCAGGTATTTCTTGATGCTCGCGCGTTAAAATTGTTCATGTGTATTCTCGTCGTTTCTGGGTAGACACTAAGTAACAATCACCAGTGACACATACCCGCCCCTGAGTATATGCCACTGTATTGCGGGAAGTGCTTGACGACGTACGCGACGGAATTGTGACAATATTCATGTCTTGACCAGTGCGTCATATTCGTCACACCATCTTACCCTCCCATGCTAATTTTGGTTCACGCCACGTTAAGGGGGTGACCACGAGAGCACCCAAACGTAAGCGGCTAGATAGATAGATAGATAGATAGATAGATAGATACGCTCAAAGTCACCGAAGTTTGCTAAGAAATGCTTCGCATTAAAAGGCATAAATATATATTTCTATCGAGCTTGGTCACGATGGTGGTTCGAGAGTATTAGTGAGTGCTTTGAGACGCACAGGTGCAGTTTCTTTTAGAAAGAGAGAGAGCATGTGCGTGGCCATAGCGAATCTCCGATTCTGCACAGAGGCAGTAATGAAAAGTATTATTAAGTTTGGGCTTTGCCACTAAACCTATTGCGAATGACGTCGGTTGACAAAAATAGACAGCATGCTTTTTTTTCTCCCACGTTCTGACGTCAGGAACCCAATTACTCGCCTCACAGAAGCATATTGATTCATTTGGTAGCTCTTCACGCAACATAGTGGTTGATCGCCATAGCCAGCACCTTCAAAGTCAGATACCTCGTATTAAACTTCCATTTTAGTGCAGAGAGTCGGCATAGATATTCCAAAAACAATTAGTTCTAATCGCTTTCTTTTTGGGCTTTCTCAGTTTGGTATCCAACCCAATAATGAGGGCGCGATAGGACGGATGAGAGAGAAACGTGGAATGTCGATGGAGTGATCGCGTCGTGGTGAGGATAGTGACGTTGAGGAAGGCACTGGCTTCACCGGACTTAATAAAGGGGCGAGGCAGGGAGTATTGGGACTCGTGAAGGCGCCTCTTTTAGTTGCATAGCATCTCTTGCAAAAAAAAAAAAAAACGGTCCTTGAATAGGTCACCTGTATTATGGGCAGTCGCAGGGAACTGTGGGATACGACGGCTTCCGGTTCAACGCACCACGCGGGTTAGCAGCGGCACGCGTGTATTTTCGTTCTGCTCCGTTGAAAAAAAAAAAAAGGATCTCTCCGGGCTATGTCAGTGCTTTAGAAGTTGGTTTTTTTTGTTTCTGCTAATCGTGACTGCGAAGATGACAAGCTACAAAAGCTATGAACGGTAACATAACTTTTGCACTAAAATGATCTGCAATGTTCTTATGCTGCTCGGGGTATACTGTCAGTTTGGCTAGCAGATCACTCGATACTGAAGAAAGTTTTCATTGTATGCTACGTTACTACAGATAAAAATCACCATTTTAAAGATACCAGGGGATGGGGATGACAGTAGGAGTGTGCTAAGAGTTCATTTCAGGATCGCTGCTTCGGCATGAAGTGCAGCACTTATTGAGCGCGTTGAGATATCATTCTTTTCCAGCCTTCAGCACGCTATAAGATGCATTTTTTGATCGATAGATTGATTGATACATGAAGTTTAACGTCCCAAAACACCCATATGATTATGAGAGACGCCGTAGTGGAGGGCTCCGGAAATTTCGACCAGCTATTTCTTAGTCGAAGCCAGATGCTTATTGGAATGCTGATCTTGATCAAGCTGCGAAGCACGACGGCACAAAAACAATACAGTCAGTCATAGACGGCGCCAAATAATCAGAACCCTGCGCTTGTTTAACGCAGTTCTTCGGTTGTGCGCCATCCTAGCGCACAGTTTAACCAAGATAAACGCAAATAGACTCGTCCAGCGCTTCGTGTAAAATTACTCTTGAGTGAACGTTTCGTGTTTTTTGTCGTATATTATATGGGTGCAATGGCCGGCGCTCATGTCGAATGGCAGGTAGATTTCACCCGCGCATTTTCATATCTTTGCTAGGCGTGCCTGCGCGACAGTTTATTTCTCCATATAAGATTCGCAGCAACTTCATGCGTAAGCTTTTTATTAGTGCGGAATACACACGTTTACCTGTGATAAAATGGTCTTCGCACACTCTGGCTTCGAAGTTCCGTATACTTAAAGTCTACCTGTCGCTGTGGCTGTCTTCACAGCCGCGGCCCACCTCATTTTTCTTTCTTCGTTTCACGGAAATAGACACATGCATTCGCCTTTCACGCTCGAGTTGGAGCAGCCAACGGCTGAAGAAATGACCATGGTTTATCAGGACGAAGATAAACGGGCGACCGTGCGCGCGAATCCTGAATCATCCGAGGCTTGAGGCGAAGCGGTTCGCCGTCGTCTGCTCTTCTCGAACCGGAAGCCGGCAGCAGACGATGCATCCCATAATCCCTCGCTCTTTTACTGGTCACATATTACTGCGCGGCTCGCCCACGTATTGCGTCACGCTATTCGTGCGGCAGTATACGCCGCTTCGCCAGCTCGGATTCATTAGAATTTGCCCGGCGGCCGTAAGCTGATATGACGCGCAGTGCTCGGCGATGGAGATGCGATATTCAGAGCGCGTAACTACTGGCAGTGAGAGGGAAAGTGAGGATGAGAGCTTTCGTTAAGCACGTTGGCTGAATCTGGTCAACAGTCGTTCAATTTGTGATTTGACTTGATAATGATATGATTGATTGATATGTGGGGTTTAACGTCCCAAAACATGAGAGACGCCGCTGTGAAGGGCTCCGGAAATTTCGACTACCCAGGGTTTTTTAACGTGCACCCAAATCTGAGCACACGGGCCTACATTTCCGCCTCTATTGGTAATGCAGCCGCCGCAGCCGGGATTAGATCCTGCGACCTACGAGCCAGCAGCCGAGCACCTTAGGCACTAGACCACCGCGGCGGGGCTGTGATTTGATTTTCGTTGGCCCCGGCAGTGCACTGGAATCCTTCGTATAGCGCACGTTCGCCAGTTCCAGCGGCTTCACGCTGCGCAGCGTGTGTGGTTTGAGCCGTGAATAACAGCCCTCTGCTAGTGCTCTCAAGAACCACAGCATGAACAGCTGTCTACTGCATGCAGTGACCATGCCTCACGGACGATCTCGCTCTCCCCCTCACTGCCGGTATTCTCGTGCTCCAAGGTAACGTGTTTCAATTGCCGAGCACTGTATATTTGTGGTTTTGTATGATCGTGCAGGCTACGGGTGGTTTGGGGACACTTTGAAATGCGTAATACCACACACGCTTTTTTTTTTTTCAGGAGTGAGGCACGTGAGTGCCGACACTTGTACATCCACATTCATGGCGTCCGTTTTACGTAGAGATGCGTGAATGTGAGGCACAAAAAAGGTTTATCAATAGAACAATGTCACTCAAAATTGTGACGGAACAATGTAAAACACCTCTGAGCACAGTACCCTTTATACTACTCGGTTATTCAACCTACAGACTATACATTAGGATTTAGCTTTCTGGTCGAGTTTCCTTGTATGCTATCATGGTATATAGAAAACCATTGCCATAGTCGAAACATATCGTGTACGTGAATAAAGTTCATAATAGACGAACAATGATCATGGCTGTGACAAAACGACGTAAAACACCTACAAGCAAATCGGCGACTGCAAGGTAGACGTTATGAGCCATAGGTTATAACTTTGTCCTCGGCTCATTATGCCAGCAGGTCACTTTATGTCTTTTAGTGTACATTATATGGGGCAACACTCGAGCAACGTACTATCACTCACCGAGAAGACACTCAGAGCTTCGCCCACTCGTTATAATTCACTACGGGGTGATGCGGGAATATTTTTTGCGTGTTTATGTAACCGGCTTGTGACTTGTGAAACAACGGATCTGCGCCGACCACGCAATAATGTCTGTTAACCTCTCTATAAATTCAGCATCTCTTGATAAGATTGAGCACAACGGGAACAGACGAATTTCTCCAGTAACTAACGCGGCTGCCTACAACAACGCTGTAATCTTTGATTGCACATGACGATATAAATGGTGATGTAGCTTACCCACTTATCAGTTTTTGTCTCGATGACCGACCGTTGTGATCACCGCTTTCATTCAATTTTGTGCGTTACTTCTTTATCCGACACAAAAGTTCACCCGAGAAGCCATTTAGTCATTCTAGGTTTGATTTAGGAGTAGTTCACAGTCCACGTGCGCAGATAAAATTGATGGTCGATATTACTCTTATTAGCTGTTCAACGAAACCCACTATTGCTTATGCAGCCTCCATTGTGTACACGGCCGTGGCGCGTGGCAAGGTGGCCCTGCCGTGCGACATCAGCCCCCCAACACCGGACGACTCCGTGACTCTGGTGCTGTGGTACAAGGACGAGAGCCTAGCACCTATCTTCACGCTCGACTCACGTCGGGCCCACGTTGACCAGGCCCGCCAATCACTTTCGGGACACGGCCTGGATCACCGGGCCCACTTCAACATGGCCAATCAACCGGCCTTTCTGCAGATAGATCCTGTCGAAGAGGCGGATGCCGGAGAGTACCGATGCCGAGTGGACTTCCGCCGCGGCCGATCTATCAACACCGTCATTCACCTCAACGTGATAGGTGGGTGCGACACCTTTTGTCAATCGAACAATGTTTTGTGTACGACGTCATGCAGAACACACGGGAAGCTGCTTGATGTACGGTGCCACGAAAGTAATGCCAGTGGCGGTGAAACGTAACAGGGCCACGCAAGAAAAGGGTGTTTCAGCTCGACGAACGTGCAGCCTGGGGACGGGTGAGGCATGAAGTGTTCTCGGGTATAAACTGAGCTTCCAGTTCGCTCCGATTAGACAGAGACCCGGAGCTAGAACTTATGTTAAAGTGCAATCAATCTGTGAGTCTTCATCTTTAACTACGCACAAAAAAAATTTCCAATTCGACATTACCTTGTAGGTCAGGATCCAGTGCCTATATATACGGAATGGTCGGTGAACGGACGTGCAGCGTGAGCAGTCCTTTTTTTTTTTTGCAATCAACAAATTCCCTAGCAAATGTCATCAGAGTCGGTGTTGTATCTTGCAGGCTAGGGAACGCTCTCGTCTTTCGAGCTGATAGTTCAGCGTTCATTTCAGAAAGAGCGTTTCCATAGTCGCAGCGTGCTGTTCGCTCTTGCCGCGTGGGGAGCGCTGAGGCGGTAGGGAGCCTTCATGTGCGAGCGTCTGTACCTTCACGCACATGCAGGCTCCCTAATAGGCGGTGACACCCTGGGCAGTCTTTTGAGCTCCGACTGCGCACCTTCAAGACAGCAGCAAGCTGCAGACGAAGAAGTCCGCAGACATTCCGATACTCTGAGATGCTGCACTCCAACAAGTTCTCTTGCCGTAGCCGAAGCATTATAAGAAAGGGAAACCAGAAAGCGGCACGACGTAGGACACTGCCCCAGTGGCAAATCAGGGGCTATATCTCGTTGAATGGCGTGGGCAAGCCCTTTTGCACGCACCCGAGTGGTCCGTAATCTATTGTGGTTGATTTTACCATCAGCGTATAGAAAACGAACACTTATTACTTCGACAACATGGATCACACGTATAATCCGATTATACGTAGTTCTACGTATAATCGCTTCGATTGTGGGCTTCCAATAACGCTGTTATAGGTGGTGCACGTCGTGGCATCGCTTTTTGACTTCTGTAATAGGGTAGGTGGAGATAGAGATCCAACACTACTTAACGTTAATGCATTTTAGGGTTGTTCACCTCGTGTTGATGCTGTTAGCACATCTAATAAATAAAAATCATCGGGGTTGTTTTCTGAGCTCGTTAAATTGACTTAACAGTACAGGAACTGCTATGGCTGTACTGAATTAGTTTTTTTTATTGACGCTGTTAGCAAAAGTTTTCCGCAGCCGCAGCAACTCATAACGCGTTATCTGTGGGGTGGAGAACAAACAGTCCTACAGTTGTGCAATGCACTCCCAGCGGTACCACGTTCTGTCTTATCAAGAAATGACTCCATTCTGTAGATGCGCACCCGCATGTGGCCCTTGCACACTGGTACTGTTGCGCTGGAACTCGGAAGCACAAGGCTTACGAAAGTCCGGCTCTTCAAAAAAAAAATATATGTATATCGCGCGTTGCGTACCCTCACACAAGTGATGAAATAATCGTCTGCTATCCTGTCTGTGAACCTGCCTTTTGTCGTTCAGCGCCTCACACATTATGTGCTGCAACGCAAGAAGGAGGCGCCGACAATGCTGGCGTGATAAATGAATGAGCCTAAACGCCCAGGCAAGACGTGTTGATGGAGAGCCAGCGTTACCCGCATTTCAGACTGGTTTCTGCGATGACAAAACAGTTGTTAGTGCTAGTGTTATGGCTCAAGAAAAACATGAAGCAAAATGTTTCTTCAAATAGACATGGCGCATGTCACGTAAACTAATTTGCAGCAATCATCTGCAGCAGTAGGATGAAAGTACCACCACGTTCGTATATCTATACGCCTTACCATGCTGAATTCAGGTAATTGCATTCTTAGTGACTCGACATCTTACATTGCATACTTAGTGCAATTAAATTTTTTGTTCAGCGGATAATAACTCCCTCTTCTGCATTAGACATGCCATGTGCGCCAAAGACTAAAACACGCTGCTTGAATCTGCGGGTTTAGGTTTCAGGCCATATGCTGCGGCAATGTCGCTAAGGTGTGCCTACGCACTGCTTTTCCGTACAACAGATACAATGCCACACAGAGTGATGGCTAGCACTTAATGAGCTCTCCATGTAGAAGTCTGAGAGAAGATTAATTGTGCACTCAAAGTGTGTTGTGGAGATTGTGGACGTGCCAGCCACAGGATGGCCATCACTCTGCTACGGGAGTCTGAACGTTCTACGCAGTAAATTTCACGCCTAGGAAAGTGGCAGCCACTCTTCTCTTATTTCAGGGCATTCAATTAGAAAAGTTCGTGCAGAACGCCTAATAAATGAAACTGCGCTTTCCTTATATTCCGGCTATCCCTGAGCATGTTGAAGTTCTGGTTTCCAACATAAGGGAGGTAAATCTCGTGCTGGACCCTTAACATGTAATCAGGTTCGTGCTGATGCGCTTCCGTAAACGAGTTGTTTTTAGGAGTCTAGCTTTAAAAAAAAAAAGGCCTTGTATCTGCATGTATCACTGCGAATGTCGTCTAAAAATGATAACCTTGCGTATAAAGAGAGTGAACAAAACGTCCATTTCATGTTCTGCGCAAGAAAACCTGTGAATTGTATTCTGGAGGCACTGCGTTTGAGCGTCTCCATCCAGTGCAGTGAAGGCGAACGAGCGTATCGAGGCACGTTAGACACGAGCGCTATCTGGCAGTTAACTTCGAAAACGAAGGAAGGCATGCGCGCCTGTATCGGAGGCGATAAGTTGTAGAACCCAAAGCGACGGGCAGGTGCCACCCACGTGCGTTGGTAACACTTGCTTTTTTGTGCATAGCGTTGCATTGTCAGCCCAGCGTCAGAAACGCTACGGTCCTTAGAATTACTTATGTATGCTTTCTGTAATATACAGCAACGCATACAGAATATCAAAGTGTTGTTATGGAGCCTCAGATATGCGCAATAATTGCTTCTTATTTGACAATAGCACAAGTATGAACGCTGAAACCTGAGCAATATTGGCGGGCGCTGTGGGTTGGATTGGCCTTTCTGGGTATTGTTTAGGGCAGTTTGGGGTATTGTTACGGTGGACAAGCAGAAAAATGTACACTCACACACCAAAATTTTTGCGTTGAAGTACCTTAAGAAAGACTATCGTCGTTAAGAACACATGGCTGCAATTTATCTACGGTCCAAGTAATTGCTCACACTTGTGCCTAGGCTAGGGAGATAGTGTTCGCGCCAACTCCAAGCTTGGCTTTCTTCACTCTGACGTTCTGCACCACTACCCATGCTATCAATACAACAACGTCACTATGCACATCTCTGAAGAAAATATAATGTTCAAACCTCTGTGAAATCAAGGTTCTTGTAAAAATGTTCTGTGTCGGTCTCTATTAAACTGAGCGACGTGCTTTCTGGGAATCAAGTGACACTGTGAAGATGATAGACGTAAAAAGGAAAGACGAGGTGCACGCACTTTAAAAAGAAATTTTCAAAGTGAAAATAATAAATGTAGTTACGTAATTTAAAAAGCTATAAACGGTAATAGAAGAAAGTAAGTTTCACCGCAAGGGTGAAGCAATGAATGCGACAGCCATAACTTGGAATGTAACGCTGAGAACGGCTAGCAGACCGAAGTGTGCAGCGCGCTGCTCACGCACAAACGACGCATGAAAACAACACACACAGGACGAAAGCTAACAAACAACGTTTATAGCTCCACGCTTAACGCACTATTTAGGAAAATTACGCACGAAACAACACCACAGGTAGAGATAAGAGTGCGAACTGACGTGTGTACCAGTTGTTTTTTTGCTGTGTATGAAAAGCGCGCTCTTTTCGTAAACGGTGCTTGCCCAGTGAGCGAAGTTGGCCTTTGTGGCCCAGGCAACTAACATAATCCTTACAGTGAAAGACAAAGGCACATGATTGTCCCCACCGAAGGATAAGCGCGAGCGTACAAGCACCTAACCACCCCGCCCCGATGCGTGGGGCAAAGTACGCGTGGGAGATAAGCGTGCGCTGACGCATCGCGATGAGCTTGGTGCTGAGCGCGAATGGCTTTTTAAAAACGACAGTCTTTCTTGGGGACCTATGACGCAACAATTTTGGTCTGCCAGTCAATCTGTCTGTCTGTACGCTGGTCTGTTTGTCCACCCTTAACTGTGCCGGGTACTCTAAGCGGCACCAGACGATACCCCAAACGGTCAACCCCATCCGCAGCGCCCACCAATATTGCTCAAGATTCAGCGTTCATACTTGTGCGATTGTCAGTTAAAAAGCAATTATTGGGCATATCTGAGGCACCCCAACAACACGTATGTATTCTGTATGTGTGTCTTTTACTAGAAAAGGCATACACAAGTAATTATAAGGGCCGGAGTGTTTATCACGCTGCGCTGAACATGCAACGCTTCCACAAAAAGGCGAGTGTTTCCGACGCTTTGCTAACACGACACGGTGGTGGCACCTGCCCGTTGCCTTGCGTTCTACACCTTATCACCTCCGAGACCATCTCAGAGCCACGCGCTTCGTTTTCCAAGAAACTGCCAGTTAGCGTTCGTGTCTCACGTGTGGCGTGACTTGATGCGCTCGTTCGCCTCCACTGCACACTCGAGGCACTCTAACGCAGCGCCTCCAGAATACCATTAACCAATTTCTTGCGCAGAACATCAAATAAATGTTTTGTTCATTCTCTACAGACTTAAGACTATCGTCTTTCGACGACATTTGCAATGTGACGTGCAGATACGGGGCCATTTTTTTTAAAAGACGAGTCTTTTTTGGGAACCTTCGACACAAAAATTTTGGTCTGTCTGTCTGTCTGTCTGTCTGTCTGTCTGCACATTTGTCTGTTTGTCCGACGTACGTCGCTAGATGGCCGATTCGCTTCAGCCATGCAGCGCGCAGGGCCCCATCGTGAGGCACGCGTTGCCCATGGTTCTCCGCTGCCCAGTGGCTGGATTTGCAGCCGACGAC